AACTCCGACCAACTAACAACACACGCATACTATGAAATGGGGTTCCATAATGCTTACTGCGTCTTGTAACTCTCCGCCTTCCATGCCGCTAGGGCAGCGACATGGCGACGTTGTATGTCTTGGTTCACATGAGTCAACTGTAGATCTTCTCCCAAGGAGGGTAGGTTGGCAGTGAGGAGATTGGTTATCGGCATGGTAACTTATGAAAAGCTCCTACGGGGGATCATGGAGCTCTATCCTTGTTGATAATCCCGAACCAATCATGGAAAATGAACGAGTATTTGGATATCCCTGCATCGACAAGGATATCCAATAGGTATACCCGCATCGACAAGGATATCCAATAGGTATCCCCGCACTGACGGGTGAAAAAAATCCGGGGACGTGGGGCAGATTGACACATGAAAGTATCGTATTAGGATGATTAGTTAAGTAGGTTATGCTACCAAGCTATTCTTCGAGAGGTCCCCGTTTCGTACCCCGTTCAGCTCTCGCCCACAATCCCTCACAGAGGGGTCCGTAAGGCTGGTTGCTACATATGGCTGTTGACGGGATGATGATGATCATCATGATGATCATCCCACGAGGCCCCAACGTGTAAGTGCCAGTAGTAAGACGGATCCCGCCAGTAAGGTGACTCCATAGAGTGAAGTGTGGGTGGACAGCTGGCAGTGGCATGAAGAGGACTTATAATGGATTTTACTGCGAGATGGGAGGTTTTTCGCGTCTTTTCCCGTGTAAAACGCCGATTACTCGGAGTTTTTCGCGTTTGTCGCGAAATGCCGGAAATGTTTTACGTGAAATGTGGTCATTTGTCTGGTGTAATTCGCGAAGTGTTTTCAATTCACTTCACATCGCGAATATCACGTTTTTCACGTGGAGTATTACGCCACTTCGCGTAAAACGGGTGAAACTCCATTGGCATGTTGAAAGTAGACGCAATTTAAACGGCTAAAACTGATCACTCGAGAGTTGATGTGCAGCGATGCGAGCCTAACTAAGCCGTGTTGGACTATAAACTCACACATACACCACTAGTATGAACTCAACAATCACATATTCAACAACATCATAACAACAACGACAACCATAGTAATAATGATAATCATGAACAACATCATTTCTCAGTTAAAGCACGATAACCCTTCCAACTCCTCGGCGGAGTACACCCATAAGACTGTATAAATTTCAGGAGAACCATGCTCGGCCCATCCTCATAACCAAGAGCCTCTTTAGTCTCATTTAAAATCTTTGCCGCTTTTTCCCACTCCCCGGCTTCGTAATTTTTATACGCTTTACCAAATTTCGTCAGAAATTCTTCCGTGAAAATTTTTCGGACCAAAATTAGGTCTTCGTCTTCTTCCCATAAATTTGCAACAACAAAATTTTCATCCCATTTTTTCGCTTTCCTTGTTTCTCGTATTTGTCGCAATTTCGACTTTTTTATTAGTCTGTTATTAATCCCAAAAAATGACGGCGTTGCAAATGCCCCCGAAATACTCCCAGTCCTTTTTCGAGTGGCACTTCTTGTTTTCTTTCTTTTCATAATATCCATAATCCTCACATTATAATCTACCAAACTGCCATTACTACTTACAAACGAACCAAATCTTCCCAACGTGAAGTCACCCAAATTGCTTCTCGCGAGACTGCTAGATCGCGAGATGGCATTTCTCAAGTTGATATCCATTTTTTCAAGATCAGCCACCTCCAATGATTGAACATCAATATCAACGGTGTACAGCCTCACCGGGACTTTCGAACCCTTCACCATAACATTATCAATTACTCTGCCATATTTCCTCATATTTTCCGAACACATATTTCTAATCAGAGCCTCTGAACATAAAATATTCGTCCCGTACTGTTTTGTCGCTGCTGCCAATCTGCTAGCCATATTCACATTAGGTGATAAATAACTCGCGTCAATTTTAAACTTTGAACCAATCGCGCCTTCGATCGCCCATCCAACATGCAAGCCAAAACCCATACTAACCTTATACGCATCTCCCAGCCTTCCGAATAGTCCCGGATGATTCCGATATTCTCCCAATACTGGTGATTTATTTATCGCTACCAAAATTTTCACGAAAGCCATCACTGACATATCGGCTAATTTTTGCCGTTTTTTCGCAATTTCCGCATCCATTTCTTCCACTTCAGAGCTCGGTAGCCGCCAAACCATGAGAAATGCTTCTCCTAAATTTCTATTCGCAACTCCGTGAAAATCATCAACTATACCATGTACGATCTCCCCAATCTGAGTCGAATTGCAGCGATGCTTTTCGTCAAGATTTTTTATGCAACCATCACATTATCTTTTAAATGTACTGCCCAAATTTAAGAAAATAACTCAAAAAAATCCTTAATTTGGCGAAATTGCGAAAAGTTCAAAAAACTTGGAAAAAAAATCCCCAAAAAATTCAAAAAATCCACTGCTTTTGATTTAGTTTTAATCCAGTTTTCTTCCCCAATACGAAAAAAACACAAAAAAAATTCCGCAAAAATTCTCACCAAAAATCATACCCAAATTTTCTTACTACCTGATTCACAAATATCATTATATCATCTT